CTCCCCTTTGGTTTATTAAAAAAAAACCCAAACAAAACAAAAACCCCCCCCCCAAAAAAAAAAAAAAAAAAAAGCAACGAAAAAGCAGCAGTTTGGTCCAGTTGCTGTTATCTGGTGTCCTAGCAACAATAGCTGCTGGGACATCTTGTCTGTATTTTTTTTTCTAGGTGCCATTAATTATTTACAGAGAGCACGAGCTGTATTTTTACAAGTTTTTGGAACTTTGGGGTTTTTTTTTGTATGAAATCACTCACAAGAACAGCTTGGTTTGTGATTGCAACATCTCAGTGCTGCTGCAAAGCATAGAACGCTGTTGTCTTGAAATAGGAATCTGCTACCTTGTATGTCTGCTGCTTTGCCAGCATATGGCTGTTCTGGCCTTCACAGTTGTGCTTTATAAAATTCTAGAAGCAGAAGAAGGTTGTCGTATTTTCAGATACGTTTTCCATGTGTTACTCTTATCAAAGGCTTCATGGGTTAACATTGTCTTTTCCAGATATTTTTGTAGCTTGTATTTTTCCTGGTTTAGCTTTTATTACTGCCTGCATATTCCTCTGTATTTTTCTTACTTGAAGATTTTGCAGTAAGGTTTCACAGACCTGGGAAAACATGCAGGCCTAGAGTCGCTGCTCAGTTTACATGCATTGGCTTTATCTTTCTGATTTGCTCAAATCTGATCAGGATTTCAACTGTAGATATATAGAATATCTCAGAAATGCCAGCAGACCACGTCACTAAGAAAATTGCAAATATTTTTGTCAAACTCACAATCTAGAGATGTGCCAAATAAAGCCAGACGGAGTATTTTTTGAGGGTAAAACTATTTAAAGGAGGTTTAATTTCAGGGTATCAATATAAAATTCATACTCCGTTTTAACTTACAATGATTTGGTCTCAAAAGGCTGCATAGAAGTGTCTGATAGGTAGCGCAGAGGGCACAAGAGTTCTGCCTGGGAGTGTGCGGTAGTGAATTTGCTAGCATAGTTTACTGTGCTGATCACATTGAATTTGGGTAGTAATGGGCAAAGAGAGTCCTTCAGCAAATTCATGAAAATACATAGGTAAGAGAAGCGTGTCCTTCAATGGAGAATGAGCATGACAGGAGCCATGAATTCAAAGACGTGATCCAGAGCGTACATATAACAGCCGTTTTTGGAGGAGAACATTGTTCCTGCCATACACAGATTAAGTTTGATGCACTCTAGATATTAGCTTACCCGTGTGGAATAACAGAGAACATAAATAAATACAATACATAGCAATCCTGTAATTGCTAAAGGGATATTGTCTTCACTGTCCCAAGAGACAAGAATACCAACAAATCTAAGGTGGTCTATTAGCAGGAATTAAACTAATACCCTTTACAGAATATCTTCAAATATCACCACCGCAGAGCAATGTTATATAGGTGGCACATTTGAGCAATTCCAAAAAAGCAACTGCAGAGGTAGCTAAATCGCACATTTGCCCTAGCAACACGTTGTTCATTATGTGACATGCACAAAATCATGTAGTCACAAAAATACCTGCAAAAGCAAAAGTTATTACAAACCAAATAGCGTGACTGAAGGTTGCACTTGCGCTCCATATCTACTCCTTAGAGAACCAAGACTTGTGTTTGCACCACCTGCACACCAAGCTGGCTGGATACAGCCGGGAGTCAAGGAGGTGTGCTGGAGGAGTTACTGAATGAGCTTACGCACTGCGTCTTCGTGCTGAACTTGTTCTTGTCCTGTTGGCATGGAGTGAACACCTACGGAGCAAGTGCTGGTCCATGCAGGGAGACAGCAGTCCCTAAGGTTAAGCTGTCGGCAGGTCCATGTATGCAGGAATGGAACTGCTTTTCAAGTAGGACTCCTAGTCATGTGAACACAATATATTAACTATAAGTTCAGATCAGTGGTCCATCAGTAAGCCAGGATAGAGCACGTTAAAAATGATAGACAGTCTCATTTGTCTTTACCTTCACTTTTCAGCTTTGATAAATATATGAAGCAAATATTCAGAGTTTTCATCAATTTGCTTTGAGCTCCATGTGCAATGGAACACACTTACTAGAACAATTATGGAAAGATGTCCAGTTCAGCAGAATAATAAACATTAAATTATTTACAGGACAGCAAATCAGCATAAACATGAATGTTCAAGTGATCCATTTACGTGTCAAAATGTGATGGATGTATGTACACAATTAACATTTCCTGTACTTCAAAAGCCATTAGTTATAGTGAGGATAAATTAAGTGTACCTATCGTTAGTTATATTGAGTAACACTGAGGCCAACCACATAAAACAGTAAATTCAAATATTTACCGATACATGACTGAAAACCTGAAAACAAAATAGAAGCATGAATTTCTTGTCTGATTCCCAAGTATCTTATCATAGCTACACAAGAATGCAGCATTGAATGTCCTATCAATAATTATTTCAGTTGAAGGCTTAATGTAATTCTGTCATAATTTCATATCAGTAAGTGTTATGTGTTATTTCCTGACAGTTGTGTTCAATGGAAACAAATATGTTCCCTAACTGACGTGGTGTCATAGCCTGAGTTTTAACAGGAGTTGCGTGTTTTCCCATAAACTGACAAAATTGCAGAAGTAAGCATTTACACAGTGATCTGAGTCATCTGCTACACTTCCATAAGTGTGACAGTCGCAGAGAATGGAATAGCATACCATAATGCAGTGAATAATGTAAAAGGTAAAGAACTATTTCCCCAATAGTAAAATATGAGCTGATAAAATGCAGCTAAGATTTCTTAGCGTAATATAGATATATGTATGCACAAGGCCAAGCCGATCGGTAATCAATGGTATCTATGAAACACAGCAGCGAGCGTTCCGCTTGCCATTCACTCAGCAGCGCACCTCGTTTGGAAGCAATCTTTGGTAGCACTGTGAGACTCTGGAAATGTAGAAATAAAAACACAACAAGATTCCATGGTGATAGTGAAAAAAAAAGGGGCAGGGGGAGGGAGTATTTCTTTATTTCATTTTTGAGGATTTCTGTAACGGAAGCTGGGTAAACGATATCACAGATTTCTATTCTCCACATGCAGTTACTGTGCAAATGGAACAGCCATGACAGAAACCTTTCCTGTCACTGGGAAGCACTGCTGCCAGCAGATGCTAAAAAGGAATGACTTCCTTAAAGATAACATTAGCAGAAATTTCCCCTTTCTGTAAAATGTGCTCTCCTAAGCCAAATTCACAGGCTTTACATTGCACGGTAATGAACTGAACTAAAAGGACAAAATTTACCCTGAAAAAAACCCACTAGACAAACAAGCAAACAAAACCAAGGTTAATGAATTT